GTACCGAATGAGGTATACATGTTAATCACTGATAATATAGCTCTGCTTGTAAAGAATTGCCAAGTAGATATTGGGCCAACTATTTAATTGCCGAGTAAAATTTGGGCCAATTAGCATTGCTCGGTTTGCGTTTAGTCCAATGTAGACTTGCCCCATTGCTTTTCGAATGATAGGTGTTAAGCGGAAGGAATGCATATTGGACTTGCCCCATTGCCCTATGTTGCGGAGAAGATTCGGCTTTGGTAAAATAACGGCGTGCAAAAATATGCAAACTACCGACTGTCAAGTGTAATGCATTGCCCCAAAACTGGCGCTTGCTTGGAGTAGTGTGAAAAGGAGCAGGAGTTTGTAACTCCAAGTAAATTTCGTTGTAGTGTTTGTACCAAGTTGGCCAAGTATGCATGCATATTAGAGGTGCCGAGATGATAATCAGCTGATGTGCTCCAATAGGAAAGCAAAAAATTGACTAAGATGTCCCAGTGGGCAATAAATGACCAATGTAATGAAATGAATGATCGGGGAAAACAGAGGATTATTTCCTAGCCCCAAGATCTTGCTGCTAAAAGTGCTTGCCGAATAAGAAACATGGCCGAGCTATCTTGCCGAACAATGGTGTGGAATAATGTTGCCGAGTAGGGAATGTTAGCCGAATAAGCCATGTTGTTGAATAATGTAGCAGAATAATGTTGCCGAGTAGGGAGAGCCGAGCAAAAATGGCTGCACTTCTGAGAATTAAATCATGAGATTGTTACAGAAAAGATAAATGAATTAATAATTTATAAATATACTTGAGTTATTGCTTGTTTATTTTTTTTATTTTTTTGTGTTTTTTTTTTATTTATTTTTTATTGTTTTTATTTATTTTTTTATTTATTTAATTTAAAGATGACAAATGGTGAAGAAGTTCAAGTTGTGGGTCCTGCCCCAGATGGTGATTGATGGCCTAGCTCCAAGTGCCTGCTGGTAAAATTGCATGCGGATCGGATATGATTTGTTCATTGATTTTGCATTTAATGTTCCCAATTAGCCGATGTATTGATCTCAATATGCGATTCAGAATTTGCAAAATTAGACCGTACGGATGTGTTCAGAAGGCTCCAAATAGTTGGAAATGACCATTGGATCGTTGTAATCGGACTCTTGATGGCGTAGTTGTAGCCAAAATAGAGCGGATGGCTTAGATCGGTTGAGAATTGTGCTCTGCAAAGCACCGGATAACTTCTCTTGCATGGCATGCTGGTTCGTCTTCCTCAGCAAATCGGTTGGCTTTGTGAGCAAAATTTGGCTGGCCCGTACAGCTTCATTTTAACTCCGATTTCAACCCGGTTTGTTGCGTTGGACTCTTCACATTGGTATGGTCAAAACTTGAGTTTGACAACTTTGAAATTTCAGTTTTCAGCACATGTGAGCCGTTGCATAACTTTCGGCAGATTTGGGTTACTCCTTGGCTCTTCGAACTGGTGGGTTTGGACTCTTTAAGCCAATATGCATCCTGTGGTATGTTCAGATGTGGGCTTCGGCAAGCCGAGATGCAATTCTATGTCGAGATATTAGTGCCGAATAAGTTGCAAGGCTGCCAAATAACGTTGCAGAATAATACTGTAATGCCGAAGAATGTGCCGAATAATAAATGTTACAAGTGTAATTTTTTCCGAATAACTTGCAGACGAATGTTGTCAATCCGCATTGCAGTCGGTTAATTTAAGCACTAGTGCTGGCAATTCTTTGATTTCCACGGCCATGCTCTTGGTACTTGCCAAGCTTGACTCAATTGTTGGTGCCGATTGATACTCCTCTTGGCTTGCCGAGGTGCTGGTGCTATACTAAGGAGCAGCGTCGAGCTTTGTGGTGTCAGTCTAGGAAGTGTCGAACATACTGTTTATGAGGCCAATAATAGAGCTTTCAAACCCTAATATACAAACTCCAAAAATTAGTTGGGCAAAAAGGTTTGCTGAAGAGAGTGAATCAGTCAAATGCAACATATATTCGCATAATCTCAAGAAGTAAATTACTTAAAGTAAATTGAACCAAGGAGAAGGAAAGCAATTACTAGGCCAACACATTAGCTGAATAGCCGAAATGTATATTAATAGTTCTGTAACCTTAATCAAGAACACATCTTACAAGTGGAGTTCCTAATTAGCTTCATATATAGCCCGATCAAAAGATGACCATAAATTATTATAACAACTCATGAAATTTTTCTAGAGAGAAAGAATGAAGACCCAGCCATGGTTTAATGATAATATGCAGCTCTGGAGCCAAACAAGTCTGGCAAGCTATTTATGACATCTTGTACATACACATATCAATGCAAGTCAATATTAATATTTATGCAAATAGTGATTATCTTACAACAAATATTATTTTCATGCTCATGATCAACAAGTTCTGAACAACATTTGTGCATGTCCAACAAGTTGGTATCTATTCGGCATGAACTGGCAAGTCCATGGGCCAATGGCGACGCCGAATACGGAATATTGCCCAATAATGGTGCTAAGTAAAGATGCCAAGAAGAACTAGGATGTATTTAATAGCCAACAATACTCACCGAGAAAGTGCAACGTTGAGGCGAGAATGCTGTGCCGTACTTGGTCTGCCAGTGTGTGTTGGCATAATTTTAATTGTGATAATAAGAGCCTCGCGTGCATTTTTAGTCCTTTTTGCTTGCGTATTTGTTTTTGTTGGGTGTAGCAGGCAAAAAGTAAGATTCAAAAAACAAGTGCACTAACCTCAATTCAAATTGAATCAGAATGAAAATAAGAGACCCAGCCGTGGGCCATATTACGTGAAGTTGATTATCATTTTGTAAAAAATGCACTAACTCCAATTCAACCAGTACAAGTTTACTTACAATAAACTGTTCGTTGTGTTCTTCGTTGATCTCGTTCAGTCGTTCCCACAGACGGCACCAATTGTGAGACCATGAAATATCTTCTCACATGGATTGTTAGTGAGATTCAATGAAGATAGTTCCTAGAACCTGAAAGAGAAAAATATGGTTGATGCTACCCAACCAGAGTTTTCGGCCAGAGACACTCCGATGATGAAGTTAGAATCCATGAATGAAAAGTATAAATAGTAAAGAATGTTGCCTGTAGAGTGCAGAGAAAAGATCATACCTGCCCTTCCTTCGTATAGATGGGGGTTGTGATATTTGTTTGGGCTAGGCCCATTGTAGGCCTCTATTGGCTTAGCCTCAATAAGTTGATATATTTTTTTTTCTAGCTCCCACAGTAAATATTTTTAAAATTTTAAGATTTTTTTTCACTTTTTTTGATGCACTGAACGTAGATGTATCTAAAATGTAAAATATTTGTAAAAAGTTATTTCAAAAAATTAATAAATACACAAAAATATTAAAAAATATATTTAGTGTGTTTGGTTTGAGTTTTCTGGATTAAGTTTTTTGAAAATTGAGTTTTTTGGTTTTCGTGTTTTTTTGTTTTTAGTGAATATTTTAAAAAATTTAAATATTTTTTTTACTTTTTTAGATGCACCTTACTTAGATGTATCTAAAAAGTAAAAAAATTGTGAAAAAATATTTAAAAAATTAATAAATACATAAAAGTACAAAAAAATATACTAAATTCTTGTATTTTTTTTGTATTTTTGGTATTTAGTGAATTTTTAAAAGATTTTTTTTACAATTTTTTTACTTTTTAGGTGTATTTATGTTAGGTGTGTCTAAAAAGTAAAAAAATTGCCTGAAATATTAAAAAAAATTCAGGAAAAACAAAAAAACACGAAAAATAAGAAAGCAAAATTTTCTGAAAAGTGTTTTTTGAAAAATGGGAACAAGCAAGCTCATTGAGTTTTTTTTCTTTTTTTTTTTTGTATTTTTTACTCATTGAGTTTTTTTTTTGTATTTTTTTTTTATTTTTTATATTTAGTAAATTTTTTTAAAAAAAAAAATTCACGAAAATTATACTTTTTAAGTATATTTATATTAGATGTGTCTAAAAATAAAAAAAAATTGCGTAAAATATTTTTAAAAAATTCAATAAAAACAAAAAAAATATGAGAAGCAAAAAAGTAAAATTTTTTGAAAAGTGTTATTAGAAAAATTCAAACCAAGCGAAGTGTTGTTAGCTGCAGAATTTCAACAAGATTGAAGGAGAGACTGCAAAATAATCGTGCTTTAAATATATTGACGTACATCAATGTCCAACAGGGCAATACACCTTTTAATTGGGATAAGATGTTCCTTAATGTAGTTAACATGTTCCTTAATTTCGTTTGAAGCATTTGCATATTCAGCTTCGTACTAGGACTTGTTGCTTCACATCATCCAGGCATGAACAAGAGGCAAATTCCAGTTTCCATCTCTCTGAATAAATGGCTGCCATACTCAAAATTTCAATACTAACTAATTCATGTAAACTTCACAGAGCTTCACTTCACTCACCTCATTGCTTCGCTTTATTGTATGCATAAACTTTTCATCTTTTACATGCACAACCATAACAATACAGATTAATCAGAAATTCTTAGATGGATTCCTCTTCTTCTTCTTGTATATATTTTCTTTTCCTTTTACTTTCTTTGCAGAGTTTTGAACAACCATCGCATGCATGCTTTGACAGATATGGTATGGCTCATGGGGCTGTCCAATTTATTTCAAAAAACTTCGAAAACCTCTAGAGGTGCTCCGTAATATTCAAAAATATATGGGGTGTTCTTGTAATTGTAAGAAACATCATGGGTTGCTCTGTTATTTCACCTAAAAGTTATTATATCATTGATAAAAAAACACACCAATATCAATGCTACGGAGCCAGAAAAAGTGGTCAAAAAAATTAGCAAAAAATAAAGCCCGTAAAACAAATTCATCATGAACATGAAATTTTAACCTACACCGTACATACTATTTTTTTTTATCACTTTCCATCTTCCTAGTTTTTTGTCCAAAGCCATAAAGCATTCCACAATTTTATTTTATTTTTTTGAAACAAACATTCCACAATTGATAAACAAGAGCACCAGCAGCCAAAAAAAAAAAAAAAAAAAACAAAAGATTAATTAAAAGGGTCAAGAGTCAAAAGGTGTTAGACTAATAGAATGACTAGCAAATCGCTTTATAAAGATACATCTTCACAAGGCCATCTGATCTAAAGATCACCTACTATCTAGCCTCAGTAGAAATATAACAAAGAATTTTCATGTAGTTTGTTACAAAAACAATCCCCTACTGAAGATTATGATCACATTGAGGCCATTACCTCCTACTCTGATGGGGGTGCTGGTGAGATGGAAAACTAGGGTTGAAATCATTCCTATTGTCATCGTCTCTTTTTTTCAAAACTTGCAGAGCCATAATTTTGTTGTGAAAATAGTCTATATTGGGACAAACATGGTACAGAACTGTGTGAACCAGGAGTTAAAGAACCTTCATAGCCTAAAGGGCTCCTACCTCCATCTGACATGGTCCTTCCAAAACCAGGGCTTATTGGTACGGAAATATTACCTTCTGCACTCTGGGAAGTGTAGCCAGACAGTGTGGGGCTAAATCCTGGGTCAATGCCGGGAGGCCCTTCATTTCTGATATCCCTAGACCACCTTTGCCTGTGATACATGCCTCTGCTAATCGGCTCCAATGAAAAGTTAGATCTGCAGTGTGATTGATTCTTGGCTAAATCGGAACTTGAAGGCCCAGCTGTTGTCCATCGTCTTTCATCTGCATTTTCAGGTATTGGTGCATTTATTCCCGGAAACTCAGCACTCATTTTCCTAGGCAGGTTGGGATAGACCTTCTCAAGGATTTTCCCAATTTCCCCATCATCTTCCTTTTCTTCCTTATTTCCCTCATCAGTAAATATTGTAATCCCTGAACGCTGCTCCTGTTCCTCAACTTCTGGATCTAAAAAAATTCCAACAAAAATGATAGGAGAGCCAAATGGAATTAGAATTTTAAGTGAAGTTGCCAAAACATGAACAGAATAAATATAGGAGGGGCAAGCAATGAAAAGAAAAGAAAAAAAAAGTTTTGAGGATTTTAAGGAATCTTCTTAGCCAGTTTGAAATTGGGAAACAAAAATAACACACTGGGTTGGGCATACCTCAACAGAGTATCTAATGCCCAACTCTGCTCCCAAGTAACTTGAAAAAAGGGGGGGTCACTAATAAGGCCGAAAATGTTTAGGGAAATTTGGTCAAAGTTCCCTCATAATAAAACTTTAATGCATTAAAGATAAGCACAAAAAAATTTCCTTGAAAAGTTCAACACACGTCACTATTACCAAAATATCCTTAAGCTTGTTTGGCATTAGCTAATATAACCAACTTTTTTGTGTTGGGACTTTTTTAGCCTATTTTGGTTTGGATTTTTTGGCCTTTTTGACTTCTGAGAGAGAAAAAGTGTAATGATTATGGGTTAGATGTGATATTTTATCTTATTATTAGCCTATTTTGTCATTTTGTGCTTTTTTTAGCCCCAAAATGATAGCCAAACTAGGGGTTAATGACTAATTTAATATTTTAAACTTTAAAATGATATAACTTTTGATCTAGATGTCGCTTTTTAATAAAATTAATAGTTTTAGAATTCTCTCATCAAAATCTATCAAACAAGATCCAAATTGACTATGAAATTCTATAAAAAAATAAAAAAATTACCGTCGAAATTGACGTAAACAGTAAAATTTTACTATTATTTATAATAAAATTTTACTCTAATTCACAATAAAATTTTACTATCAATCAATTAGGAATCATATCTTCACTACGAGTTCACAAACAAATCACACAAGGACACACCCTACCAAAGTAAAATTTTACTATAAAAAAAAAGAAGTATATCTTATAATGAGAAACCACAAGCAGCGGAGATGAAATTTTACTTTCGTATTTACAAAAACCATTAATCTTGATTGTGTGTCATTTAAGCCAAGTCGCTTGGTAGTAAGCTAGTGGTCCTTTGTATACACAGGATCGTTCATGCAAACATCCATCGTTACAAGCTCCATCCCTTTAAACCCTCGTGTCCATGCTAGGGGCACATAATCAATCAAAATACCATAACCAGCTCGTGGTTAGCCCAGAACAGTCACTCACATGGTCACGTGCACAAGTCGACTCTAATGCTATTCTAACGCCTACTGGCCCGAGTAACCTAAAAAAAGTGTATCTACTATCATGAAAAAAAATGCTTTAGCTAAGTTCACCCATGCAAACTTCTAACGTGTATAAAGCATGATTCCATACATCATGCAAAATTAATTGAGATATATACATTAAGCTGAAATGTCAGCATCCTACCCTTTTTTTTTATTTATGATAATAAGCTAGTACATTACCTTTACTTACCACTTTATTCTCCTAGAGTTTGACATTCTAAACTGAGTGATTTTAACATACTATTAAAGTGGCTTTCCTATGCTTTCCGTTCGGCAATAGGCTTTTAGCCAAAAGGGCACAAAAAAAGTCAAAACGTTTTCAACTCGTACAAAAAGTCAAAGATTCCTTCCCTTTCGCTCTACTTTTAGCATATTTTTTCATAAAAAGCCAAAAAGTTCTTCCCAAATATATTAATCCTTTTCAACTCATTTTAGCAAAAAAGCAAAAAAACCACTAAAATAGCCACTTTTCCAAAAGTCTGTTAGGGCTAATTTTGGATGACCAAAACAACCAACCTCAAATCTAACCACAGGAAGTGGAAACTAGGGCAAGGTATAAAGATTTCCAGACAGCCCTCATTCGGGAACATATGACCCCATACTTAGAATGAGAGCAAAAAGAAGACGCTACAAATGCTAGAAAAAGAAAACAACTCCAAAACCAAAATTAAGTACAAGGCTAAATTAATTCACTTGTGTGCCTAAGAAGCACATATACGGATACAAGATACGGATATGGATATGGACATGGCTATGGCTATGGCTACAGCTACGGCAATACGCCAAAACCTAAAAAAGTAAAATACAGATACAGTTAGGATACGTTCGTAAAAAAAAATATTATTTTTAAAAATAATTATTAGTGAGGTACACATAAGCTTAAGAATGTTGAAAAATCACACTATAATTTTCTAATGAAAATACTCATCTTTAAGAATTAGGTATTGTCAATAGATTTTATAAATTATAATATCAAGTCTATTATGTTTATATTATACTAACAGAACAATCAACAACTTGTCCACGTGCTTTTTCCTTCTACACTAATAAAAAATATTGTATGCAAGTTTACTTATTTATTTATTGATATTTAATTTTACTATTGTTATATTGTCTTTGTTAATTTTTACTTTCTATAGGATAAGCTAATTTGACAAATTCTATTATATTAACTCACTATGTTCTTATCAAAGAACTAAGCAAAGTATTGAACAATTTTCATGTGTTAATCCTCAAAATTATATTATATTATAATGCTATGCAAGAAATGCTACAATTCTAATTTTGTCAAAGAAGTAATACGTGACTTGAAGTATCCGATACTTCAAAATTAATGAAAAATTAATTAAGAAGTATCTAATACTTTTAACAAGTATCCAATACGTCCGCAAGTATCCAAAGAGTATCGGTATCTGATACAGATGTGTCCCTCTTTTAGAAGTATATGTGCTTCATACGTATGTGCACTCCAAAAATCCAATTAACACAACTACAAATAAAAAGAGGGTAAATTCCACAAATACACCCTTGAAGTTTGTCAAAAATACAGATTCCCCCCTCACATTCTAAAACATTACAAATACCTCTTTGTTAGATTTTTTCTTGCAACTGACCTAACAGAAAAAAAGAAAAAATATATGTATTTATACCCAAATACACTCTAATACTAAAATAAAATTATCATACTACTCTTATTTTCATCCACTCACCACCAAATCCCCCTCTCTACACCACCACAATATTCTCTAACCCTTCTCGATGATGCACCAAGCGCTTGTAGACAATAATGATGGTGATGCTGACCAAGACTGGCGGGGTAGTGCAATGGTTGGGGGAAATGGTGTTACTAGAGGAAATGAGAAATAAGGAAGGTGAGATGAATAAAATAAAATAAAATAAAAAGAAAAAAGAAATAAAGTGTTTTAACTTCATAAAAGTTTGGGAAATTCTATACCATATGCACCCCTATGTTGTGACCCAAGAGCTTTTTAGTTAAATCTTATGTGATGTTTGGTTATGACTTAATTTTTTTTAATAGTTATGACTCCCATAGTATTGAGTTATGACATTTGTTGTAATCAATCCACAAATGTCAGAACTTGCATACGGTACACACCTTTTTGAGGGTGTGTACCATAGCATTTCCCTAATATTGTGTTTGGTTGAGGGATTTGAGGAGGTGTTTGGAAAGGGAAATGAAAAAAGTAAGTGAAATGTGAACAAAACATATTTATATTCCACCTAGTTTCACACACCTTTTCCCTTTCCCTTTCCAAATCCCTCCCCAAATCCCCAAACCAAACACAGCGTAAAAGTAATATAGGAGGGGGCCATACACTATTAGTTTGACTTAACGGTTGATTAAAGAAGGAGGCTATTGTTATGTGATTGAAAACCTCAACGGGCAGGATGTAATTTCTTAGACGTGAGGGGAATACTCGTATTTTTAATAAATCTCAGGGGGTATATTTACAATTTACCCTAAAAACAAAGAATACTGCAAGCTAGGAAGCACGGATACAGATACGGGATACGGATACGATACGATACGAATACGGATACGGATACGGCGATACGACAAAATTTGAAAAATTAGAATACGGATACGGCGGGGATATGTTCGTAAAAAATATTATTTTAACAATTTTTAGTAATGCAATATGCATAAAAATAAAACCTAAAGCAAAAGACAACTTGATAAAGAAGAACGATTCCTATAAAACTAAGAGTCTTCAAGGTCAATAGCTTCAACTTGTTCCCCTTCATCAGTGAATATCATAAGACCTTAGCTAAAGCCAAAAAATCATTCTTAAATAAAAATTTCGGCATATATACTTTTTTAAGTCATCAATGATAGCCTAGGAAGCACGGATACAGATATGGTGATATGGGGATGTGGATATGTCAAAATTTGAAAAAGTATGATACAGGTACAGCGGGGATACATTCGTAAAAAAAAAATTATAATTTTAATAATGTAATATGCATGAAAATAAAACTTAAAGTTAATTAATAAATAAAGAGGGATTCCTATTAACCTAAAAGTGCTCAAACATTCATAAAACATCCAAAACTAAAAGCAAAAGCAAATGCAAATGCAAATTAAACATCAGCCTTACATGCCAACACCAAAAAAAGAATGAGAGCAGAGAGAGAAACGTGAGAGAGTGAGAAAGCGAGAGAGAAGTGAGAAAGACAACAAGGATACATCAATTTGACAAATTCTATTACTTTACTCTCACTATATTCCTCTTATCAAAGAACTAAACAAAATATTATAAGTAATATGTAACTTCGAATATTCGATACTTCAAAATTAAGTATTCGATACTTCAAAATTAAGTATTCGATACTTCAAAATTAATAAAAAATTAATTAAAAAGTATCTGATACTTTTAAGAAGTATCCGATACGTATCTGCGAATATCCGAGGAGTATCGGTATCCGATAAGTATCCGATATGGATACGTCACCCTTTTTGAAGTATCCGTGCTTCATAGACTGCAAGGTAGATATGTAAGACGACATGTAGTTGGTTACCAAGAGTTTAAGTAAATAAAAAAAAGTTTACCTAGATATCCTGGTGGATATCCCATTTGTCGCATTCTGTTAAGCCAAGGAGGTGGATCAAGCTCCTGTACACGTGCACAAGAAGGTTTTTTTTTTTTTTTTAATGCAAAAAAATCCTATAATAAAGTTAGCAGTAAGTCAAAAAAGTTAACAAGCAATCTGAAGCTAGAAAATAAAATGAAGCATTTCAAATTCCCTAAAGTTAAAAGAAAATAAGTGTTCTGAAAGAGTTAAATGCAATCATACAGATTCCTGCAATAAACTTCAACATGAAACAGAAAAACAGGTAACATAAATCACTCAGCAAATAAAAGTTCACATAAACACTAACAGAAAAAGTAGCAAGCCTTTGCATGCAAAAGAATGATCCATATTACCCCAAGACCAAGAAGTTTCCGTGTTTCAGCATCAAGGACACCTGGCCTTAAACCATCATACTTTCCCCCAGCAGAATTTTGGTAGTATCGAGTTGGATTACGAGAACCAGCATTTTTATTACATCTTGACTTGTGCTGCTTGCGAGCATTATTAACAGCTACATTGTCACGAGGTTTTGGGCATTCCTTCAATGAGTGGTTGTAGGAACCACAATTGAAACACCGGGAAGCATCTACTACTTTCAAACCCCTACAACACAACAAATAATATGTAACTATATGCTAGGCAGTTGAACAAAACAAGTGCAATATATAGGCAGAAGGGATTCTTGGTACCAAAAAAAAGACTAAAAAGCGTTCTATAAATCACACCACCACTAGAGGATGAGAATCGTCAGAACCAATGGGGTAGAAAATCATTGGTTGGCTTTCTTTTGAGGCAAGCATGTCCATAAGAGGCATGAAATGTGTCAACAATGGCCAATTACTCTACATATGTTTCAGGTGATCAGCTTAAGAATTTTATCGCAACAAAGCATTCAAATTTCAATCCTTAGGAGGAAAAACTAAAGTTTCGATACACTAAAATCATATTTTCCATGGACAGCAACAAGGAAATTATCCTAGTTAGACTTTGATCCGTTCATATTTGAAACTAACCAACCATGATATATGGATGATTCAAAATCTGCCAGCTGTTTTGGGTCTTTTGGCGTCATGGGATATGCATCCAACACACCTATTGACAACCACATGCCAACAATCATGAATACTATGTTACCTACAAAGTGGATCGTTCAGTATGTGAAATGGGAGCCACATTCTCAAAAATGTGGTACAATAGGAATAGACTTGTTTATATTACAATAATAGAATACTTGTAAAGCTTCTTCTTTTTTTTTTTAACAATTAGACATCTGATAAAATGTTGGTTTTCTTAATCAAATTAATCATATTACAACACATTTTTGTGAGCATTATGACCAATTTTTTACGTTGTCACATCAAAACTCTACTCTCCTTAGATTCAATTTATCATATTTGATTTGTCTTCCTCCTAAGGGAACTTTTAAGGTTTAAATTGGAAAATATTTTTGGGATTGGTTTGGACTGCTCAATTCACTGTTTCGGAATAAAAGTGTACCTCATTTTGGAACGTGCTATTGAAACAAAAATAGTGTTTTCTGGTAAATTTGCATGAATACAAAAAGTAGTTATTAACCAAAAGTTCCAAACGAAACTTTCTAATATCTTGTTAGAAGACTATTTCTAAGAGACAGAAGCACACATGTATTACATTAAAACAAATAAAACTTCATTTATGCTCGAGTAAAAATATTTGTGTACTTCAACAACTTAGTTATATAAACAACCTTGTTTAGGAAATCAAGTGCGCCAACTGTCAACTTGAAGTGAATTTGTGGGTTGAGGTAAAATAACAAAATGAAAAAGTTCTGTTATGCAGTAAGGATCAATCATTGACTCACGGTGTACCAAGGGAAAGAGAAAACAGAAAGGCTGAAAAGGCAGGCACGCAATTGCTACAGTACCAGATAAGGTAAGCAAGCAGTTCAAATCACTTTCTTACTGTAGAGCCAGAATAACCCCCAGCATGCATTAAAAAAATGTACTGCATTAATAAGCATAAGAAATACCACAACTCATAGTTCTTGTACAAAAAATATGCCTGCCTTCTAGCAGCATATCTGTTATGTACACAAACACAAGTTTCATGTCTTGGAAATATGTATGGGTAAGACGATAGGGATGGAAGTCACTTTGATCTAACTAGAACCTGGACGAGAAGTTGGCTGGTTCAATTTTCAGTCACATCTAGTTCAGTCATGAATTGGAAAAAAGGAAGAATATTTTTCTTCCAGGTCAACAAGTCAGAACAAACCCAACAAGAGAATAGACCTATATTGATATATATTATTTTGCAAGTAAAACAAATTATATTAAAAAGCATCAAAAGGGGGATGATGCCGATTTACAAAAATGTTACATCACAATAACCTAAGAAGCTTTATAAAAAAAAGTCTTATACACTCGAAAGACAAAAAGGCCTAAAGATTCTCACAAGTCCAAATAATCCAAGCCTACAAAATTGCGCAAATGATACAAGTCTACAATTAAAAAGGGTGAGAAGGTGTATAACTTTCCTAACTTAGGTATATGTATTCATCTCTATGTGTCATGGCCACATCGTCTCCATTTATTAGTTGGCACCACGTGTCAATAGTACATTTCTACATGCTCCCCTTTGGATCAAGCAACCATTTAACTCTTCTGCATGATCTATACAAATGATCTTCGGCACCCCACTAATACTTGGTCTCAGAAATGCTACCAAATTAACCTACGTCACAAGCAGGGACTAAGATCTTCACTCAAGATCACTTGAAAATTTGTGGCTTGGAAGTTAGAGTCGAGATGGTCAAGGTCACTCCACCTTGACCAGTCCTAGAGAGAAGGGTTTTGACAAAGATTTGTGATATCTTAAAGATTGTACAATACCTGCCTCTGAAACATTATGATATGATCCCCAAGGCCTATCATGCCTACCCACTACAACCTCATGATAGAAACTTAAGGTCTGAGTCTCTGACCATATGCAAAATGGGTAGTTGGAAACTTTTAAATTGCCAAACCAAGGGAGTTGAACCACCTGTCCATAGTTGAATTGGTCCCATGACCCTCCTATAAGAGGGAACCCTCCTCATGCATGCAAAACAAGAAGCCAATCCTACCTCCTTCGGCAAGCTTACAAGTACTCTCTACCCTCCTAGAACTGCCTTCGCTCTTTTCTCCCCTACCTCTAGTGGTTCTTTGCCAACCAAGTGTCCATCATTTTCCCAGATCCTCCTTCTGGCCACCTCAAGCTCATATCTTCAATACCTAGAAGTCCAACTATACAAGTTGGCCAAAATGCAACTCTCAAGCCTAACAGAGGCTTGTCAACACCTTCTAAAGTTCTCCTGTTATGTTCCCTCTAAAAAATCCACATCAAACATGACAGAGATAAGAGCCAAGCCTTCTTCCTAAGCCTCCCCAACCAATCTCCCCACCATCCAAACACAACTCTAACCACACATCTCTATGAAACACTCAATCCACCCCAAACAGTAATAAGACCAACCCATACAATCAATAGCTACGTTAACTTACAGTGAATAAACAACTGACAAACAGAAGCTGATTCACCATCACATTTATTAAGACAATACCAATTAACAAAGATTTGATGCCTCATAGATAGGTTGTCACTTGTAAGAGTCTTCTCATGGGTGATGTGTTCCACACATAAAAAATAATCTTGACCAACAATCCAAATTCCTTCCCTAGGAAATTCACTCTTCCAATCTCCATAAAAAGATTTCAATCAAAACACCCTCACCAAGATATAGTCTGCCATAATGAATTATGCCTTCAACAACTCTACACCCATAAAGCAAATTGAGGAGATTAGTCAACTGTTCCAACTCCCAATCTTGCAAGTTCCTTTTCAACCTAATGTCCCAAAAAACACTCTGACCCATCCCTCAAACAAAATCACCAACAAAGTATCTTTATATGAAGCAAGAAAAATAGAAGGGAAGGCTTTCTTTCTCTAAAGCATCATCTCAACACACTCCGCACCCTGATGCTGAAAATTTTTCACATTTGACAAATACCCTTCCTTAAACTTTTCTTATGAAGCATCATCACCACCAATTAAAAACTCAAACCAAACTATCTTCATCTACTTGTGATAATAGCACACTTACAATTTTTAAAGATGATCAAGGGAAGAACTCTGATGTAATGATTCATGATGGATTAAATAGTACTTTTCATATAGAATAAAGTTTAACTTAAAAACTGATTTATTTTTTCATATTGAATTAGTTTCAGTTTTTCAATATTTTTAATTGTTTGTAGCTATGACATTCATATTCATGGCAAATAAAATAAATATACATTTTTTGTTGTATTCTTGTCATGTCGTTATCTTAAATTTTTGAAAATTATCATGTCCTATGTCCGATGTCAATGTCGATGTACATGTCCTATGTCGATGTCGATGTCAATGTCAATGTCAATGTCAATGTCAATGTCAATGTCAATGTCAATGTCAATGTCAATGTCAATGTCTGTGTACATGTTTGTGCTTCTTAGGCACTGATAATGGTACATTGTACAAAGACATCCATTAGGTAGGCAGGCTTCACCAAGCACTCTAAATAACAGTGAGCCCCATATATTATTAGCTATAGCCTAAGAAGCACGAACACGAACATGCGACACGACACGACACGACACGACACGGATACGACACGGACATGTCGACCTTAGTTGCACGAAGCGGGAGCGGGGGCAAGAGCGGGAGCAAGGAAGTGTGAGCCGATAGAAGTTTCTTAGGTTGAGAGCGCCTCGGGGAGCGGTAATATATATATATATATTAATACACATTAGAAGTTTTTTTATAAATATTTTTATTTTAATACACATTAATTATTTTTTTATTTATTATATTTTTTAAATAATGTGTTATTGTTAATTTTTTTTTTTTTATTTTACATATATTTATTTGTGTTTTTTTTATTAATATGTATAATATATACTCATATATATATATATATTATATTTATATGTGTTAATGTTTTTGTTTATATATATATATTATAAAGATTTATTTATTATTATATAACAAATTATATTATTTATATTATTTATTATATGTTAAAAACGGGAGGGGGACACAAATCGACGAGAGAGGGACACAAATGGACAAGAGAGAGAGACAGAGAGAAGAAGAAGAAGAAGAAGAAGAAGAAGACGACGACGACGAAGAAGAAGAAGAAGAAGAAGAGGAGGAGATGATGAAGAAGAGAAGAGGATATCGAGAAAGATGAAGACAGAGAGTGCGAAGGAGATTGCGAGAAGATCAAAGGCGATGTAAAGGAGATTGAAGGCAATATAACAAATCGAAGCCGTGTCCGAGAAACCCATGCCCTAAACCAACGAATCCATGTACCAGATCGACGGCGAGACCACATTTCTCTCTCTCTCTCTCCCCCTCCCTCCTTTACGATCCTACCTTGGACAGAATCACGTTTCTGTGGAATCACGTTTCTCTCTCCACAGAAACGCAATTCTTACTCAGAATCGCCACCAAGTTGCATGGTTCCTGCAACTAAGAAGCCGACATGCTAATTTTCAAAAAATGCAAGACACGACATGTATGGGACGTGCACGAAATATATAATTTTATGTACTTATAATATGTCATATATATGAATATAACATTCAAATATAATAAAAAATGTAACATAACACTTACTTTATATTTTATATATATATTTTTTTCATTATTGTATCCTCAGTTAATTAGTTCAAACTTATAATTTGTTTAATGTATGTCTAATTGGTGAACATGTGTGTTTAAGCAAAGGACACGAGTATCCGACAATTGTCTGGATCTAAAATACTTTCAAAAAATAGGATACGTTTTGACAAGTGTCAGACATGTGTTGGGAAGAGAAGATAGTTATAAAATATTGACTTACCCTCATTTGGGTGAGACCATGTCTATATATAATCAATATAAGATACATGAAAAAAGAATTAAATAATTACACAATCAAACCCTAAAATTAAATTCCTAAATTAAATATACAATATTCCATATTCCAACATTCTATACTCCAACACTCCCCCTCAAGCTGAATCAAAGATGTCAACCAATCCCAGCTTGCCAATGGAAGATCGAAGTAGGGATGGTCCTACAGATTTGGTGAAGATGTCGGCAGTCTGATCAGAAGATGGAACAAATGAAGGACATACAATGCCAGCTCGAACCTTTTCCCGGATAAAATGAATATCATCCTTAATATGTTTAATACGCTCATGAAGCACAGAATCAGAGGCAAGTAAGATGGCAAACTTATTGCCACAAAATAGCTTGGAAGAATTATTCTCCTCAAAGCCTAACTCAATAAGAATGGACCAAAGCCATAGTGACTCACATGTCCCATGAGTCATGGCACGGTATTCAGCTTCAGCAGATGATCAAGAAACAACCGCTTGTTTTTTGCTTTTCCATGATAGAAGATGGGTACCAAGGAAGGTGCATACCCCAGAAGTGGAACGTCTATCAGTCAATGAACCGGCATAGTCTGCATCAGTAAAACAGGACAATCCTGTCTGAATCCCACCATTGAAGAATAAACCCAAACCTGGACATGACTTGAGATATCTCAAGATGTGGTGAACAGCATCAAGGTGAGCAGTACGAGGTGAATGCATAAACTGACTAACCACACTTACAGCAAATGTCAAATCTAGTCGTGTATTAGTCAAATAGATCAAAAGTCCTACCAATCTCTAGTAGCGAGTTGGATCACAAAGCAACTCACCACACTCAACCGAAAGTTTCAAATTCGGATACATAGGAGTAGAGTTGGAATATGGAATGTTGGAATATGGAATATTGTATATTTAATTTAGGAATTTAATTTTGGGGTTTGATTGTGTAATTATTTAATTCTTTTTTCATGTATCTTATATTGATTACATATAGACATGGTCTCACCCAAATGAGGGTAAGCCAATATTTTATAACCATCTTCTTGGTATCAGAGCTTAGTTAGGCCTGTGACTGGTGGGCTATTTGTCCAGCTAGTGTGTGTTGTGGTCCAGGAGGGTGTATTGAAATGTGTCCCACATCGCTTGGAGTTGCCCCATCTATGCTAGTTATAAGGCTTTAGTTTCCCTCTCCTTAATACCTGAGTTTTAAGGAAAAGTGTGGACTGGGCTTTTCAACTAGAAGTGTCCAACAAGTGTCAGTGTCTGACACGGACACAACACAAACACACCACCTTCTTAGAAGTGTCTATGCTTCTTAGGCTATAGCTAATATAATATTATTCTCCTGTGACATCCCTAACTATTGCTTACATTCCAAATTTGATAAAGTCTAATATATCCAGAATATTTGGCGTGCCGTCTAATATCACACATGTATTCCCATGTTGGTCAAACAATAAAAGAACATCAAAATATTTTGAACTACAAAGTTACATTCCTATATGGATATTGAGTACATGATATTGCAACTCAAAAGGCCAATCTCCAGCCTATTTATTTTTAGTAGTAATCACTGATTCATTTATAACCAAAAAAGTATTCATAATCATAAACAAAATAAGAAGTATTTACCCTTCCAATGAGTATCCACGATCATAAAGTGGAACAGACTTCCTATCTAATGCAATAAACTCCTCGCTCATCTGGTTCCTTGTTTGATTGTCCATCCAGAAAGACTACAGACAAAAGAGCACTGAAAACTTCAACATAATACGCACTGCAAGGAAACTTGCAAACTACAAGCTTTCTTCATACTAGCTACAAAACCGAGGAAATCTTGAATGGAAATCTTTGACAAAACACTAGCCAATAGAAGTTAATAACTAACAAAATTTCTTGCTTGTCTCAGTAAAGTGGCAAGGCATGCATTGTTTGGACTAGCTAAATAGATAGACCATATCGATTGAATAAAACAACTTTCTAGTAGCGGGTAGAACCACACAGCGTTCCATAACCCAAAAACTAAGTACTGGAGGAAAAACAGAAAAATATTAAAATAGAAGGTAAATGCAGTTCTTGGATGAATAGTTATAACTTCATAGAAGATGGACCTACTAGCAACTTATCATGTACTGATATGGCAGGAACAGAATTCTATATCACAAAACCTTAAACAAAATGCAAGCACTCTTGAACAAAAAGTATGCATGAAAGAAGAAAGTGAGAGCAAGTTAAGCAGCAAGTCCAGAAACTATATATAGCATGAAACAAACAGTCAATATGCATCTTATACACGTAACACACGTTGTAAAATATCAGAAACCTCTTTACCTGTTATAACACTGTCCTCAGCTGAAGTTGAGTTCCAGAATGTTTAAGTTCAGTACTCTCTCTCACTTTTGTCACAACAATCAACTTAAGCAACTGTTTTATTCTTGATGTATGGTATATATATGCACATAAGATTTCACTGTTGCAATTTTATATTCGTTCTTTAACAAGGATTAACTTCCATTGTATTACAAACCCTTAGTCTATTCCTTGTTTTAATCTTCAAACCTACCACTTTTCAATTGCAGCACAGTCAGAGAAAAAAAATACTAGGCTGTCCTATGTCAGGAAGAAAAAGGAGATGAATCCAAAAGAGCAACAGATGGGGGAAGAGAGAGCTCCTCCAAATATCTCAACAAGTTATGCCAATTGCAGGGCTCATTTTATTTTCCTCATTACTTAGGGAAGGTAATGTAATTTACCCTATGAAAAATTATGACAGATAATATATATTCATTATGGTTGATTTTATGTAATATGTTTTACTAATGTGAGAGCAATTTTATGTTAATGCCAAAGTATATAGTAAGGTATGTCTAAACAAAGTCCTCGTTCTGAGATTTTTTTTCCTCCATTGACTTACAATGGCATGCAAGTTCATCATTAACAAATAGTGCAGCCCATTTCTCCTGAAACCTGAACAATGATTTAAATTACTTATTTCATCAGTAGACGTAGTACAGGCATGCATTTGTAAGGAGTCAGAACCATAAAATTATTTTGTAATAGGAAGGACAAATGAAGATAGTTCAAGTCACCTAATAGTTTCATACTTCAGTGAACTAAAAACGGATCAACAAAATAGGTTGAGATAAGGAAAGTAAGCTAGGAAAGTGGGTGCTATGTGAAGAAGGGGGGCAAAGCTTGGAAGGTGGCGCCTTCGTGTTTGATGTGGTGGATTGGGAGGGAGCAGAATCGCCATAGTTTCGATGAGTGGTTACCACAGTACACAGGCATAAGTTAGCTTTACCTTTTTACTTTCATCATTAGAACAGGGGTTTTTTGTGAGCCCCCTTTCTCTTTCAGCAATTTTTTTTTTAGGAACTTCTCTTTCGGCAATTTTATTGGACAACTTAATTCTGTTGGAGGATGTTAGATTTTGTATAAATCTTGTACACAGGTGCTCTTGGTGCATTTTATCCAAAAACAAGAAAGCAAGCATTGAAACATCAAAAAACAACCCAAATGTTCCTCAATAAGATATCATGCTAATGCATAAAGCATGCATCAGAGACACATGAAGAAAACATACCACTGCAGAAGGATTATCCAAACCAACAAAAAGTGCAGGGAAGAACGTCTCTTCACCAGATTCCAGGACTTCATTGGAATCCTGAACAGATAGAAATATATGAATCAGGAGTCCAATCAAATGGAAATATTGAAGAAAGAATGCAGTTAAATGACGAGGTAACTAAATCCATTGGATAACCTAGATAAAAATCCAATTACATATTTGTAAATATGGAACAGCAAGGCATCAAAAGGAACAGCAAATCACCACTGTGTGTATAAAACAATACCAGACAGATTACTGAAAAGCCTTTTGATTGTATTCAAGTCAAGATCAATTACACAAGTCAATCTTCACCTCAAACATCTAATTGTCCAAGTTACTGCCTACAATGATTTCAAGATAATCAAATAATTTCACCATCTTTTATTAGAGCTCTAATATCATTAGTCAGATGCAGAACAGAAAAGAAGGTCCTTATCCCAACCCCGGAAAGTTTCAGCTCAATCCACATAATTGGTCAGTCCAACCAGACACAAGGGACAAGAAACCTGGTGGTACTAAACTATACTGCCATATTTATTATTCACTCTTAGCTGATTCATTCAATAAAGAGTTGTATGCAGTCCAACAGATCCAAAACAATGTGCATGTGTAGGCCGTTCCATTACGCTTCAGAATACTATTATGTTCATCACTCTTAAACAGTATATAAAGATGCAAGGACTATTTGCCTGCCACCAGTTTCTGTCCAGTCAATTTGGGACCTTCTCAGAGTTGTTGAAAAAAAAAATGAAAAAAAAAAAGATGAAGAAGAAGAAGAGAAAAGAAAAAAGAATAAGCTTTAAACTCAATTCCTGCTAATTGCACGATTTTTATATTCACATCTAAGACTGCCCAATATATTATCCATATCTAACAAAAAAATAAGAAATATAGTGTATTCAAATTAACAGAAGCACTTACTATAAAGATCCAAATGATTCAGTTTCTTCTTCATTCCAAAAGTAATGGAGAAGTACAGTATTTTCACGAAGGGGAAAGTGGGACACCGCACAGAATACAATGAAAACAGATGAAAATCCGCAATATTGGCTTAAATACAAGAATCAGGCTTACATGAGAAGAAGAGCAATGCTGAGCGTGCCATTTCGACCACTGCTGTAGTAGCTCCTCAAGCTCCTGTTTACTGTCTCTGTTAAGGAAAACTGAGCCATTCAGAATATGAAGAAAGAAAGAACCACAACTTAAAAAGTCCTCTTTTAGGAGTACCCTTTCAAAAAAGCAGGAGAAACATCAACTTTCTTTTCATGAAAATACCTTGTTAAAGAGTTATACTTTACATGCACCGAAGGTTGCTGTTTATCAACTATCATTCTGGCTTTCTTAACACCAGATATGGCTGGCATGACGAATTATGGCAAACATAACATGAGGGAACTAATTATAAGCTGCAGGAAGAAGCTTGTTTCTGTGGACACACAAAGGCGCATACGTGCTGCCACCCACACGCAGACATGGCATATAAACATAGAGATTGCTATATTTGAAGTAATATGGCAAAATAGCTTATAAAAGGAGAGAAAAACAAATTAATGTTTGTTCTCGGAATTGCATTTTCAATACACAACTAAGATATTCAAGGAAACGAAATAACAGGATACAATTGTCGCTAATTTCATGATAGCTGATAGGACTTTCATCTCTCTTTCGATTGCTAATTGGACTTCCATCTTGACCGGTTACGCAACCATTCTCACTTTGTATTCCAGAGCTGAAGCACTTGACGTCTTCTGCAACTGAAATGGTTTCATTCAATTTAATACTAGCTTGCAAGATAGACGAACACCCAATCAAATCCCTGTCTATGTCAGCTGACATAAAAATTTGGCTGTCTCCATTTCCAACATCAACCTCAGAAGTCCTTGAGATCTCCTCATTTAGCTTATCTTCTTTAAGCTCACAATTAATTGGATGTGAATCAGTATCACTGGGCTCACACTCAGAATTATGAAGGTTGTCATTCTCACTTTTATAGCCTGAATTGCTAGAAGGAGGGAGGTCAATCAAATCCTCAGTTTCCATATATAAATGAAAAAAAACTTCAATTGTGGCAAGGCACAAGTCAGACAAGAAGTTAGTCTGCAAGAAATGAACCCTGGTCAGTGAATACAGAACAAACTATCATATCATCCTTGAAGGATCATAAAAAGAACAACAGCAATTCACATTGATACGTGTCTAAATACCATCAGCACGTACAACATCTTAATATATTTTAGAAAAGTACATCCATGGCTAAACAATGACCTTCAAAGAAATAGAAAATCGAAACAACCCCAACTAGTTTGGAAGATTGGGCGTTTGGAAGATTGGGCCGCTGAATAGTGAATTCAATATGTGATTATAAAGAATTGTGCATGCACTTATGATCTTCAATTGACTTTTCAAATCAAAAAAGAAAGGTGACGTCAAAATAGGCCGGTGTATAAGTCAAATGGCAAAGAGCGGTAATTCTTTGTACATTAGTGAACTGTTACCACTCACGGACCATTCATTGGGATGGTAACAGGAAACCCCCTAGAGGAGCTGAATAGCCTTGGCTTCTTTTGTTCCTGCATCAACATTACAATATATTCTACATGGGACAATCAATGGATCCGATCTTCCCAAAGCATCACACAGAACTCTATAATCAGCAGTCGATCCTTCTGAACCAGGTAAGAATAAGTGAACATTAAATTCCAAGGATAAACACCTAATACATTATCGCAACAGAACTCTTTCTTTTCCTGTTTCTTACTTGACCTTAGATATAAATAATTAGGGGTACGTAACTCCTGTCTAATGCCCCAAGGCAGTCCCAAAACCATTCCCATATTTCATCTCCAATGCCTACCACTTCTCTTCATAGTTGAACCAAATACTTTTTTTCATAGTCCAGTAGCACCACATAGGACAGCATTAAAATGACAACCATCTATCTCCTCAAAATGCAAGGATGGCATTTTAACTGCCCAATAGGCAAGGATGTATTGAATTATCACAAATACTTCTTCCATATAGACATTTTTCATACAACCCTCCATTTTCTCAAAATTTCTTGAATAGACAAAGTAAAACAATATTTTTTTAAATGTAGTTGCTCCATACCAGCCCTCTCACCCCCTTTTCTATTGGAACCTGAATTGTTTCATGCAACTCTCCCTTTTTCACAAAATTGTCCACAGAGACTAGTAAAAGTGCTTATGCCAGCGCATAGTTGCTTTATACAAGCTCTCTCAGACCCATAATAAAGATGATTTAGTTCCTTTTCTATTCTTAAATCTTGGGAAGGCTCCTTCACCACGTTTCATGCCACCACAATGCAATTGCTGCTGAAGAAACAACATTAGATACTACAATGACCTTTCATTTATTTACTCTACCTTCAACATTTTATTTGACGGAAAATATGTGTTCTAGGATGAAAGAAATATTGATAGAGAGAGAAAGAGAATAAATTGTATTATTGATTGATGAATTGATTTATTCTGTCTATTACAAATGGTTCCTTATATAGATGTAGGTGTAGTGGGTTAGGTTTAGTGGAGTAGGTGAGGTGGTAGTGGTGGTAGGTTTAGTGGAGTAGGTGAGGTGGTAGTGGTGTAGTTAAGGTTCTGAAAAGCGGTTGCGGTCGCCGTAACGGTGGCGGTGACGCGGTTGCGGTTGCGGGGTGTAAAGACCGTAGTGTAACGGTTGCGGTAACCGGAACCGTGAATTTTTTTATTTTTCGCACAATTTGAAAAAAACTTACCGATATGCATAACCAAAAGATAAACTTCTATAACTGAAGTTTATGTAGCATTTTGCATAAAACTACTGTTGGTGTGTATGTACATTTTGCCTGAACTCTGGTACTATGATATGGAGACATTGGCATAAAGGTCGAAGAAATTAGAAACAATTCTACTCAGACATTCATTGAAATCCTAAAGTGCTTTTAAATTGAAAAGGTGTTAAAACAATTAGACTTTGATACTAGTCACTACAAATATCAGACGCACATTTCAAATCCTGCATATATCAAAATGGATTCCTCCATATTCTAATAATGTACAAACCACAGAGCAGGTTACTATTCACTTCCAATATTCCCACTTGTAGTTTCACTTGTTTTGTACCCAAAGAACTTTGAAAGGACCATGATAAAAATAATAAAAGTGTGGATGTAGATTGTTGAGGTGTCTAGGTGGACCTTCTGGGAAGATAGAAGGCATTGAGATGACTCTAGATCATTGACGTTAAGGAGAGAGACAAGGGAACATAAAGGAGAGAGGAAGATGGCAGTGGAGACACTCAGCCAGAGGTAGGAAAGTTGGAAATCGAATACTTTTACAAGAGATTTAAGTCAAGGAGAACAAGGTAGTCTCCTAGGCTTAGGTATAGGTGGCACAGCCCACTTGGTTCTACAAGCCTAAGGTTTCTCAACTACCCTCTGTATCAAACCTCGGGCTGTATCATGGAATGTCAGGAAGTAGGTATGTTAAGCCTGAAGGCTTGTACCAAAAGAGTTACAATAGATATGTGATGTTCCCATCCCGAAGCATAACTAGGCTAGGCCTCGCAACTTCAAAATGGTCGATACTAGAAAAGGATGTGAACTCACTTGTATATAGTCTAGAAACTTAAACTGTCTAGCCAATGGGTCAGGACATTACAAAGTAGCTATGATACACCTTCCCAGGTGTGGCACCTCGCTTGAAGGTCTTGTCTTCTTATCATTGTGCCAACAAACAAGTAAACTATGATAACAACGTGAACAAGTCAACAACATTAAAAAAAAAAAAAAAAAAAACTACAATCTTGGGTATCATTACTTATAGAACCTCTATTTTTGCACAAAAGAAAGCTGTAAAACTTAGCGTTTCTAAATTTTGGTAATTCTCCATTGACAAACAAGTGAAGCCCAATTAATTATAGTTATGCTACTGCTTTTGGGACCCATGATCCTCACTAATTTGGATCACTCTAAAACAAGGACACGATATGTTTAATCAGTTGTTTGCTATATATGCTACCATTTATAAGCAACACCTTGCCCCATTTGGTAGCACTCACAATTCAACTTATTTAACTTATTTGGTTTTAAGAAGTTAATTAATAACAAACATTTTATTGCAATTGTAAATTATAGCCTATTTGACCTTTTCAACTTATTTGTCCAAAAAGAAGTGAGATTTTCTTAAGCTACAAGTGGTAACTTTTTTTAGCTGATCTAAAACCCTTAGGCCCCGTTTGTTTTCAGAGATAGAATGGAGGGGATTGATAGTGAGGGGATTAATAGTGAGGGGATTGTTAGTGAGGAAATTGATAGTGAGAGGATTAATAGTGAGGGGATTGATAGTGAGGGGATTAAATACATATGGACAAAAGTGCCGCATCTCTTTTGTCTTAGTTATACCTTTTGAGAACATTTTGGATATTTACACAACAAAAAAGCTATGTCAATTAATTTAACCAAACATGTTCAACTTTTTTCACAGATTATAAAAACTACACCAAACAAATTTAGAAATTATTTTAAGCTAATAAACTAAAATGATATAGTCATAATGATACCAAACGGGCCACTTGTCTCATTGCCATTCAATCTATATGCATGTGTTATAGATATTCTTGCAGTTAAACGGAATAACACTAAGATTCGAGTAACCACCCTCCACATATTTACACAAAATTTGCCAATATAAGTAAAGCAGATATCCAATGAAGTTAGTATCCTAACCTTGTGTTTGGTTCATTGATTTGAGAACAGATTTGAAAAGAAAAACATATAAAAAAATAATAATAATTATGTTTCATTCACATCTCACAAACATTTTCTTTTTCAATTTCCAAATCCATAAACCAAACACAGCGTAAAACAATTGTTCAATCTTATGCCAATTTTTCTAATATGAGATGGTGAGGGAAAGCTTATACAGAGACCCATATGTTTCATAACAAAATCAAAATTATAGCTTTGAATACACATTTGTAAACACTTGTAAGTAGAAACATGACATCGAAATCGGGAATACAATAAGCACGAACTGAGGAAGAGAGACTCACTGGTAGAGTGAAAAGCTAGACAACTTTAGTCCTCGTCGTTTATGGAGATAGGGTTTGGAGACAGAGGGAGAGAGAGACTCTGGAGTCGCTCTGGATTCCTTATGGAGCCGCTATTCGGTGAGAGTTCGAATCGACAATCATGACTGACGCATCTGGGCACTTGTCTAGCTTTAAGGTGTAAAACTGAACCGAGACCGTGGGCGGCCCAAAACCCGCCCCAGGTCTGAGATGGGCTGGCCTCTTTCAGCCCGATTAAGTCCGAGTTTGAGCCCAGCCCAATATATTGAGCTTATGCTTGGGCCTTTCATGTAAAATCCGGTCTGGCCCATTGGCCTATTGCATGGCTTGGCCTGGCCTAAAAAAATCGGTCCCTACAAGCAGCTTGGCCAGGCCCGGCCCGGCCCACCTGGTCCTCCCTATATCACAAAGGTCAAATTTCAAAAAAATAAAATAAAATACAACTTGCGACGATTAAAAAATAATAAAAATAAAAATAAAAGATTGATCTTGCACAAAAACAAAACAATACAATACAATACAATTTTTATAACAAAATAAAACAAAACAATAGTCATCTCCTTATAATGAATGAATGAAAAAAAAAAACGACAATGCTACGTAACTCAAATTTTGTGGCTCAAAAGTGGCTCAAATGGCCAAAACCACGTCGTTTTGAGTACAGAACAACATAAAAATGGCCAAAACGACGTCGTTTTGGCCATTTGAGCTACTTTTGAGCCACAAAATTTGAGCTACGAAACATTTTCCAAAAAAAAAATTAAAACTCTACACCTCTACTACTACCCCCACTCGCCTACTTACCCTACCCCTTGCATGCGTCAGATCCCTCTTCACTGAGTCTCACATCAAGTTGCAACTTGCAATTGAAAAATAAATTAGCCTCCGTTTGGAAAGTGGGTTGGCTTTTTGGCTTTTTGGCTTTTTGGCTATTTTAGCCTGGGCTATTTTAGCCTGGTTTGGGAAGGGCTTTTGACTTTTTGGCTTTTTTGACTTTTTTTGTGAGAGGGGATTGTAATGATTATGGGTTGGATTTGATGTTTTGTTTTTTGTGGCTAAAATAGCCTATTTTGTTTTTTGTGGCTATTTTAGCCCAAACCAAGTTCCCAAACAAAGGCTAAATATATTGTCTGCATGCACCTGATGCCCCTGCCCTACCCCCTACCCTTCCTTTGCATCATGCGTCACATCACTCTTTACGTAATGGGGAAAAAATAATGTTTGCACTTTAAAAAAAAATTTAAAAAATTTTAACGGCCATATTACCGTTTAATACAACGGTAATATTTTTTTTAATTTATACATTGACCTCAACCTTTCAAACTACTATAAATATTTTCATTTTCTAAAATAAATCTCATAAATAATTATCTCTCTTAAACTCTCTCAATCTCTCTTAAACTCTCAATCTCTCTCAACTCTCAACTAATTTTGAAGTGTCATCCCTAAGTGACAAATTGTGCAATACGAAACTTTTATCAAAAGAAGCTAATTTCTATATCCCATTCGCCAGTCGGTAACATTAATTAGTTTAATTAAATTTATTACCTACTCATTTTTTTCATTAATTATTTGTGCACATAAATTAATTATCATTTTTTACTCATTGTATTTACACATTATTTAAATTAATTGTTAATTCTTATATATTATTTTACTAATATTACTATGGATCATAATATCCTAATGTTTATGTCGATGTTGATACATATACTACAAAATATAAATCTGTTGATTCTCCTTCTAATATCCCTCTTCCAACAATTGGATCATCATCTAAAAGTAGAAGTAGTAATGTTGGGAACATTTTAAAAAAAAATATCTATAAATAATACTGATGGTACAATTACATTTAAAGAAAAATATAAATATTGTGCACATTTACTTAGTGTTGCATCTGTAGGGGGTACTAGTCATCTAAAAAGACATGCTAACAAACATTTACAAAGTTAATAACCTGATATTCGAAGTCAAATACAATTAAGGACTTCATCAATTAGTAATTTGCAAACATTTTCATATGATCCTATAGGTGTACAAAATTCTGTAGTTAATTATATTATTAAAAAAGAACAACATTTTAATACTAATGAATGTCCTGATTTTACCGACATGATTCATGAAAGTTTTGCACCGCAATATCAAAGTTTTTCAATAAATACTACTAGAAATAGGATTTTAAAGAAATTTGAAGATGTTAAATGTTAATTATTTGACATCTTTAAAATTTTGAATGGAAGAGTTTGTTTAACATCTGATTTGTGGTCAAATAGTGGTTTTGAATATTAATGTATCATTGCACATTTTATTGATAATGATTGAAAATTAAATAAAAGAATTATTTCATTTAAATTAGTTGAACTTCCATATACTGGTCATTCGCTTGGTGTAGAAATAAGAAATGTATTATATGAGTGGGCTTTATAAAATAAAATATTTACAATTAGTTTAGATAATGCAGCATATTATAATCAAAATATAATCCATTTAAAATCAACTTTACAATTACTTGTTAATGATGATTTATTTCATGTTTATTGTTGTGTCTATATTTTAAATTTGATTGTTAAAGAAGCTATGCATGTATACGAGACTTCTATACTTGTAATAAAAAATGCAGTTATTATTATTATGCCTTTTGCTAATCGAATTTTGAATTATAAAAAAATTTGTTAACGAGAAAATATGTCATTTAAAAAATTAATTTTAGATGTAGATAGTAAGTGAAATTTAACATATAATATGTTAAAAATAGCTCGTAAACAAAAAAGAGTAATAGATTTATTTTTTGCAAAAACATCAATAGGAGGAATGCTGACTCCCACAAAGTTTTTGATACTTCAACAAAAATTAGTTTCTTATATATATATATATATATATATTCCTACTTTACCATTTGTTTTACATATGCCAGCAGAAATAATTAAAGTTTCGTAAAATATATGGGTAATGAATATCATGTAACCATTAGTACTTCAATGAAAGTAAAATTTGATAAATATTTTGATCATTTATCTCATCTTTTAGATTTAGCCATACTAATTGATCCTATGTGTAAAAAAGTTGGTTTACAAGAATTTTTTGAATGTATTTCATTGATCAAACACAGTTTGCCCCTATTATGCAAACATGCAATAGATTATTTGAAGAATATAGGGCAGCTACATCTGTAAATACAACTACACACACTACACTAGCAGTCTCATCTCAAGGCGGAAGATTAAGTATTTTTTCAACAACAAAAAGTAGAAGAATATCTCAACATACAAGTGTAAGTAGCTCTGAACTACAATGTTATTTGGAAAGCCCGTCAATGGATGATTCTGATGATTTTGACATTTTGGAATGGTGGAAACAAAATGAAACTATGTTGCTTATGGTTTCACATATGGCCCGTGATTTACTAATCGTTCTTATTTCTACAGTTGCTTCTGAAACAACTTTTAGTGCAGGTGGACAGCTGCTGAGCAATTTCTAGAGCAGGCTTTTCACCCCAAATGGTTGAGACACTGATAGTATTCAGAGATCATATGCATGCGCTTACAAGAAAACACAATTATAGTGAAAATGAGCAAATTCCAGATGATTTGGATGACATATCCTCAGGTAACGCAATTGAAATGTCTATCTTCTCTGATGTTTGATCAACAATTTTTTTTTACTATTTCATTTCATTTCGTTTTTCTTTTTTTTTTCTTTTTTTTTTTGTATTAGATTATTGAGGTGAAGTATAATGCAAATGATTGGTAGGCTAGTAGGTGCCAACCTAGTTAGGATGTACTTGACCTATAGTAATGCAATTGCTCTACCATCATCAATAATCTACATCTATTTTATTTAATAATATAATTTTTGTAATATTTTATTTCATTTTGAAACAAAATTATTCATTCAATGAATGTTATATAATTAATTTAATATTGTAATATTGAAAGTTTCATTTTCATATATATAAAATTATTCATTTCGAAAGAAAAATATTACATAATTACATACTTTTTTAGTTATAAGTTCATAATTAAAAAAAACATAAATCATACATAATTAAATTTAAATACCACCATGAAACATAACCAAACAAAACGTCTCATTAATCTTAACTAAAATACTCTGGTATAATTTTGAGACACTTTTTCATAAATCCCTTTTCACCTACTTATGTTTCATTTAGTCCACATTATTTTCTTATATTCCAATAAGTCCTATGAGTGATATAGTTACCAAAATATCCCTAATAATATTCACATTTACAGTGTGAATGTTCCGTGATGTGAATGTTCACACCGTTAATGTGAATGTTCACACCGTTAATGTGAATATTAATATGTCAATATGAACATTCACACGTTAATGTGAATATTCACATTGTAAAATATGAATGTTCACATCACTAAATTGCTAACCGTTCAAAAAACATTTGTAAAGGTAGAAATATCCATAAAATACTTTAAATATGAGAATTAGGATTTTGTAAATCAAATGTTCAAATAATAGGACTTATTATAATACAAGAATATCTTATGGACTAATTGGGATATAAGCACTTGAAAAAGGATTTTCTAATAAATCTACCTGTAATTTTTCTTTTATTTTTTATTCCTAATAAATAATCTATATAGATAATGAATTTATCCTTTATTTTTCACACACACACACACAAAAAAGGCCCGACAAGGTCTGGCCCGCGACCCAGGCCCTATTATGAGTGGGCTTGGGCCTAAGCCCCACTATTTGGCCCATGGGCCAGCCCAGCCCGCTAAAAAGAAGGGATCCCGTAAGGCCCGCTTGGACCGGACCGGGCCATTATTACATCCTTATCTAGCTTCTATCCACTCAATTTTATTTTTATTTTATTTTTTTGGGAAATTACAAAAATAAATAAATACGGTTTGATTTTGTAATAAAATAAATCTTAATTTTTTAATTTTATCTATTTAAATTTTAAACTTGTTTACTGTATTTATTTTCAATCTAAATTATTTAATTATTTTTGTTAAGTACAACTAACAGAAAAAAATAGTATTTTAATCATTAAACTTAATGAAAAATAATATTTATATACACTTACTATAAGTTTAATAACTAAAATAACAATTTTTCATCAATTTTATTTAACAAAAATAAGTTGATGATTTAAAATAA